CAAGTGAGTGCCTTTGTAATTCATAGGGTGGTGTAGGGATTTATGATTTGGGGTCTAGAGGTTGAGGTTTAGGGCGTTAAGGGGTTCTAGGGATTAGGTCTCCGCACATTCATCAAGGCATTGAAGCTGGCTTCGTGCGGGTTCGTCGTGAGTTGTCTTTCAGGGTCACATCCTCCTACACCTTCTGCGGGTGTGGCTTCCTAAACCCTAAACCCTAGACCCTAGACCTTGAACCCTAAACGCTAAACCCGCGCTCATGTGTCAGGCTGAGCCCAGGGTTAAATGCTTTAGCCCTGAGAGTCCATGTACCTTATTAGTATATATACTTGGGCCCCAGGGTCCCTTTGTAGAAAGTACTTTACGGCCGAAGTATACTCTGCTTAGGTACATGGACCCTAAGGGTGGGGGCTATGGGAACAGGAGTATCTGGCTCTGGCCCATAGAAGAAGTATGTTGGGGCCTCAGGACTCATTCCCGAAGCCTGAAGCCTAAACCCTAAACCGTAGACCCTAAACCCAAAACCCTAAACCTCACCTACACCCTGAAGGGTGGTTGGGGCTTGGGTGGGTAATTACGGCGTCAGGCAGCCCAAAACCCCAAAACCCCAAAACCCCAAAACCCCACAGCCCCAAAACCCCAAAGACCCAAAACCCAAAACCCCGCAACCCGCAAGACACAACCCTCAAACCTCAATCCCCCAAACCCAAAACTTGAAACCCCTACGCCTAAATCGATGTTTCCACATGTCGAGAAAACACAGGGGAAGAGTCGTCATGGGGAGTGTATGTGGCTTCCCGGAATAGGGGGTGTAGGGCTTTTGGGAGGTGCCTATGATAAGGATGAGAGCGGATTTAAGGGACCCTTAACCCTAAACCCTAAACCCTAAACCCCAAACCCTAAACCCTAAACCTTAAACCCTAAACCCCAAAGCAGCTCTTCCAGATCCTCGATGTGCACGTGCTTTCTTCGGGTTACGGTTTAGGGGAAAAGGTGCAACATGGCAACTGCAGGGAGAACTTGCTTACTTACATAGGGTTTAGTGCTTAGGCTTTGGGGTTTAGGGCTCGACTTAGAAACAATATGTTTCTCTAGTAGCGCCATTTCGGCTTTTAGTGCTTACACCTGGGTACCCTAAACGCTAAACCCTAAACCCTGAACCCCAAACCCCAAACCCTGGACCCCGTAAACCCAAAACCTTATAAACCTTAGGCCCTAAACCCCTAAACTAATGCGTAGCCACTTTGGGCACTCACGGAGGTGCCAGGTCGACGCTGAGCAGGCGGCTTCTCGATGCTGAAGACGCTTCGCACCTTTGGCCTGGGATTTAGGGTGCAGGGCTTAGTGTTTAGGGTTTAGGGCTTAGGGTTTAGGGCTTAGAGCTTAGGGCTTAGGGGTTGAACCCATCAACGCCCAAACGCTCTAAACTCGAACCCCCTCAAGACCCAAAACCCTAAACCCCTAAACCCCTACACCATAAAAACCCAAAGCTCCGAATCCTCCGAACCCGAACACAGACCCCCTGAACCTCTTAACCGCAGCGGTATAAAGCTAAAATCCTGCACGCCAAAACCGTAACAAGAACCAAACCCTGAAAACCCTAACCGGTTAACAACCAAAACCCTAAACCCTTCTCCCAGGGGCCATAACAACCCAATCACGGCCTGTGAGGTCTTCATCGCGCATTTCCCCAAAATAGGAGAAAATTTCAATAGACCACCCCCAAATATTTCATCAACGGTGTACATCTTTTGTGAGGGTTTAGAGGTTTAGGGGTGCAGGACATTCTCATGCCTACCCAACCCCTAGACCCGAAACATCTAATTAATCCCAAAGCCCCAAACCCTAAACCCCTAAACCTCTGAACATGCAAAATGTTTTAACAAAAGCCTGCACCCTTCCCCCATGAACGGACCACTTTACTCCATATAGAAAAACAATGCAAACATAAGTGTTCGCTTTAAGTATAAATATGCATGATATACAGCCCTTAAGTGATTTGAGTACCCTGAATCCCCAGACCTGGATAAAGCCCCGTGTATAAGTCCCTGTGCAAAACATGTATGTCGAGAAACCCTAAACCCTGAACCCCTACGGCCGAAACCCCTGAACCCCTCTAAAGCCCTAGAAGTCCTTGCGAAACTCTTTAAGAAACATGCCATCAGAACCCCCAAACCCAAGCCCCTACCCCTTTTACACCCCAAATAGTATAGAATACCCTTAAGGGACCCCCAAAATGGGGGCCCCTATTTTCGGAAACCCCTATTTGAGAACCCCTAAAAAACCCCTAAACCCTTCAGAAACAACCCGGCCCCAGCCAAGGTCGCGTCGGGTCCTTGGTTGTGAAACTGCTGGCCAAGTACCTGCACTGCAGTTTGAGGGTTACGGGAATTCGGGTTTAGGGTTTTGTGGATGTAGAGATGAGCGGGTTTAAGCGTTTAGGGGGTTTAGGGGTCGAGGGTTCAGGGTTTCGGGCTTTGAGTTGAGGAGGCCATCACCCAATCACCGTTCCCAAATTCCGGGGAGTTTGGGGAGAGGAGCTACAAGACCTTAGATAGCAACTCTAGGCCGTAAACCGCAATCCCTAAACCCTAAACTCTAAATCCTAAATCTCAACTCTAGGTTGCTCGAAACGCAAGGATGGCAGGTTTATGTTTCAAAGCTGATGCAGGCTGCCGGGGGAGATGTGGGCCCTTGTCATTAGAATGCAGATGTGGCATCGTTTACAACTACCCAAAAGCTAAACCCATACATAATGATGTAGGTATTGTGCACTGGCAAGGGCTGCAAGTTTACCCTGGCACACGCAACATTGACCGAGGAGACCCTAAACATTGGTTTAGGGTTTTGGGTTCAGGGTTTACCTTATACACCCTAAACCCTAAAAGGCTCTGCGAGCTAGCAGTTTTCAAAACGATCGCAAGCGCAGGGAATGTATTGTGGCAACTGCCGCGCATCATCGAGCCAACAGGTGGGTTTAGGGTCTTCTTCTATACTACTGCCACTACTGCTGCTGCTCTTCTTCTTCTATACTCCACTCCTACTCCGACTGCTACTCCCACTCCTACTCCTACTGCTTCTGCTAGTGCTAGTGCTAGTGCTGGCAACAGCACTGCTACGACGACAACCAGGAGGAGGACGACGACTACCACTGCGACTGCTGCTACCAAGCAGTACTATACTACGACTATGTGACTATAATACCCAAAACCCCCAAACCTAAACTCAGAAGCAGTTGAAACGCCTCGTAATGCAGCTTATAAGGGCGCCCAGACCCTGCAAAAAAAGAACAACGGCCTCCTCTGGGTGCTAGGTCTGGGGTTTAGGGTTTAGGGGAAGAAGGGCCGAGGGTGGAGGCTCGATGGTGTGAGGGCATGCCCAGACAGCTCCAGGCTGCACGGTACTAGTGGGGGCCAGGGGCCGGGGAGATGCAGACTCCATGTTTAGGGTTTGGGGTTTGGGGTTTAGGGTTTAGGGTTTGGGGTTTAGGGTTTAGGGTTCAGGGTTCGGGGTTCAGGGTTTGGGGTTTGGGGTTTGGGGGTCGTTTAGGGTTTAGGGGGGATTCCTCTACGGTTAGGCACCTACCTTCTTGACAGCTACAAAAGAAGTTGACCCCAATTTAGAACACCCTCCCCCCCCCCCCCCCCCCCCCCACCCCCAAGTACGACTTCATTCCCAGCCAAGCCTTGGCAACTTGCCAGGGATGACCGCCAACACCCAAACCCTGAACCCTACAAAATCGCCGCTAGGCTGGCCTTTCGAGCTCTCTGAAATATACTCCTGGCTATGACCCTTTGTCATCTAAGGGTAGTTTCATGGGCCCTTAGTATGGCATCCCTTCCTTAACTCTGAAGCTTAGGCTTCAAAGTGCAACCCCATATTAAGGGATCATGCAGCTCCCCTAAGATTTCAAAATGCTGTAGGGCTGCATTTCGCCTGCCCCCACCGCACCCCACGAAAAGCATAGCCACGGGCTGAAGCAATGCTTCAGTATCCCAGTCTACTTTGTATCACAAGGGAGCGGCACGTCTCCTAGGGCTGTATAGGTGCTATGTTGGGGCCATACGAAAGAACCAAGAAACCAAGAGCAAGATTGATACAGTTTGGTCCAGCCTGTCAATGGCCAATTGATTCCACTGCAATTGCTGGCCTATTGGCGGCTACGCATGCCAGCCCGTAGCGACGCAGTGCCGGGAAAAAAGGCACAGGCGGCGTGGGCCTTTCAGGCGCGGCTGGCTTTGCCTTTCTCAGGTTGCTACCGCGAGCTCGGTCGCACCTGTGTCCGCGCTCACTAGGCCCTAGGCATTCCTTGAACATAAGCCGACTGACAGGGTGAAAGAATAAATATATACATATATATATATATGTATACATACACGGCAATTAGCCCTTCTAGATGTCTCCTCCTCGCAGTAATTACCGAATCCCTTGGTGCTGTCTTCTGCTTCATGAAATTTCCGGGCCGACATATGGCCCAGTATCTTCTGGATTGACTCACATTGGGTGAGCGACTGTGGCACTACTCAAAACAAATGGAGGTAGGGGAAACCTGCCGCGAAAATGAGCCACTGGGCTTGTTCATGTTCAGAGAAACCCTAAGCTCCGTAAACCCTGAAACCTAAATCCTGAATATTCTTATTGTTACCAGCGGATAGCCCTGAACAATCATTTTCTTGAGCCACGGCGAACGGGTGAATACAGCTTGTGTCTTCCAGTAACTACACCCCCCGCGCAACTTAGTGCAACGGTAGAGGCGTTCTTTTCCGTTAGCTGGAAGAACACACAAAAGAATGTTCGCCTAAACTATACTCCACTGACCAGTAGTGAGTAGCTACCACCCGTCAGGGAGTTGAGAAACATCTACACTCTAAAGAAAGGTTAGTTACCGGCTTCTACTGCTCAGCAACCAACTCGTCAGAGTGGTGTCCATGTGCGAAGCTTGAGAAGATGATCCACGGTTGGTGCAGCAAATGCATCCAACTCTTCCGAGTGGAGGTCTTTCCTCAGTAACGGCGAGTGGTTTCACCTGTGAAAGGGTCGGTGACTTTGTGCTCCCAGCCGTTGAGGTACCAGATCACGTTCTCGTAATCATATACGACCACCCGATTGAGCTGCCCGAAGGATGGAATGCAGTTCACGACCTCCTCTTCCTGGATATAGTGCTGGTCGCGTGCATAAAGCATTGCCCAGTAATAAGCTTCAAGGCGGTTGAATCTGGGATGACGTGGCTCCCGCCCGTTGATCTCCTCACCATCGACGTCGTAGGGAAAGGTGATGCCAAGCGGTCTCTCGAGCAGCTGCGTAAGCTCATCCAGCCTGGTCTCAATCATTTGATTGACCCGTTCACGGCGCGCTCGAAGCCATTCTCCCTCCGTCTCGGTAGGGTTGGTTGGCTCAACGCGTCTGCGTGAGGCAGCGGGCTGATCTTGCTGGCTCGACTGACGTCTCGCAGCTGGAGGTCTTGGTGTGGCGGAGCGCAGTCTTGGCGGCGTTGCCTTGCTGGTTGGCTCTACATAGGAACCAGTCCTCCTCGGTGATCTTCCACGATTGGCACCATATGCCGATGATGATCGGGTCCTGTCACGAGTGGGGTCATTGGCTCCCTCCGAGTGCTGTCTTGCAGGGGACGCCGAAGCCCTTCTATAACGTCTTGATGAAGATGCCCTTGGACCATCCCTTCCGGGAGGAGGAGGTGCGCGCATGTAGCCTGCACTCCTCGCCCTCGAGGCTCTGACCCATTCCGGATCATAGACAGTCCTGGCAAGACGTCTGTCGTAGAAGCGGGTATCGCGCAGGACTTCATTGAGTTGCGTCTGGCCCATAGAGGCAAACCCTTCCGGGATGCGAAGATTCCCTGACATGGTTACCTCAGTGGGTGCCGGATCATCGTAGGTCCCGGCGAAGCCAAGTTGGACTTTGAAGAATTCTGCCAACTGTGCTGCAAGCTCTGTGACCGAGGCTGGCTCCGGAGTGTAGATCTCGCCATCAAAACCGAGGATCGAAAAAGGAAACCTTTGGCCGAAGTACGTCTGCTGTGTGGCATAGATGAGCATGGCCGCCTCGTCAAGGATGTAAAGCCTGGAAGAGAACGCGATGAAAAACGCTCGGTTCAAGACGATCTCGGTGTCACCAGGCATCCAGGCGATGCTAAGGCGAGCGTCAGCATTGTGGCTCCCTGCAAACTCTTTGCGACCACGCGCATCCCCTCCGGGTGCGGGATTGTGAAGGCGCGTAAACAACTCAAGCTGGGCGAGACTTCCGATGTCAATGCCTTTTGACACGTAGTTGTACGCATCGAGGGGCTCGTCGAGAAGCTCCAGCAAGTGATCACCTCCACCCCGCTTTGCGAGACTCTTCTTCATGGCCAAACACTTTCCTCTGACTGCCGCCGGGAGACTGATGTCATCATCGTCACGACCCTGACGGACGCGATGTCGATTCATGGCCAACCCCTTCCGGGGGGCGATAGCGAGGAGATCAATCCCCGTTCCCCTTCGGCTGGCTTCATCGCGCGCCCTTTTGGTTTCTGTGACGTGTGCCATATCGCTCTCGGCAGAAATACGGACCGAACACCATGGGCAATTGATCATCCCGTCGACGAAGTCCCGATTGCATGAGCCGCATCTGAGAGTGGGAAAATCCACGAACTCTTGAATTACGTAATGCTCAAGCTTCGATCGGTATCTCACATCCGTCCTGCGCCCCAGCGCGGAGTACCACGTCTTCAGACGGGAGCCCCATCGAGCGTTACCCACATATTGGGGCTTTGCCTCTGTGTGAAAGGTAACGTCTTCTGCGTTGATGGCCTCCCCGTTGACGGTGATATTTTCATCCTCCGCGATCTGAAAGGGGGAATGCATGTTGTTGCAGATGTGCTTGTACTCATCGAACGAGAGGTCTTCCGCCTCCGAGCAGAGGAAGTCAATGTAGCATCCCGGCATGGGGCTCTTGCTCTGCCACCTCCGGAGTACATGCTCCTCGTAAATTGGCCCTGGCTCCCGCCCGGCGAGGAAATCTTTCCTGGCCTTGTGTACTCTGACTCTCAACTGTTCGTACACGCGGTTGTGCCAGATTGGGGTCAACGACTTGCGCTCGTACGCATAAATGAGATACCTGTTGGACAACCAATCAGGAGTTTCCACAGCATCTGCTTTCGTACGAAGAATCCTGACCCCGTCCAAAGCAGCTAGTTGCAGGTCCACAACGAACTCAATCTCCGCGTTTTCGCGCACGCCCTGATGGTCCCTGCGTTCCCACGCGGGGATAGGGGACATCATGAGGAAATTCCGTGCGCCCTCAGCGGTCGCCCCGCACCCGCCTGGAATGAGGCCGTTCTCCACGATGGAGCCGAAAGAAGACCATTTGGTGCTGTGGTATCCAAGCGGCGGCATCTCCGTCCACATCTCCGATTTGATTCCCTCAGTTCCCACCGGGGGCCGATCCTTCAATGTCGGAAACCAGGATTCGGCTAAGTGGTAGACCGCTGCATGCGTGTCATTGAGGTCCGTCTCGTCAGAGAGGAGGGTTGCATTATGCCCCTGGATGGCTCGGATGGCGTGGAAGACGACGAGCTTGTTGAGACCAAAGTTCACCTTGATCTCGAAACGGAGCTTGTCGTTGTGTAGCAACGCGTCTACCACGTTTTCCACCCTTAGCCCCCTCCACATCTGGGATAGTTTCTCGAAGAACTCGTCCCATCTAAGGGAGTGATCCTCTGCCGCTTTCACATGGAGGTGCGGCGCGCGAATCTCCGCGAAGCCTCGCGTCAGGAAACTGATCTTCTTGCTGAGTGCTACGCGTGCGCCCGGCGTCAGCCAGCGGTAGTCGTCTGGCAAAGGCGGGAGCTGATCGGCCGTCATCCACCTCGGAAGCGCAGGCGGCTTTGGCTTAGCAGCCGGCGTAAATGGCTTCTGAATCGTGGCCTCACTCGTCAGAGGGGCGTCCATGATGACGACCTCATCCTCTGACTCCTCCATTGCGGCCGTGGGACCAGCCGGGGGCCGGACATCGGCCGAGGAAGCGGCTCCCTCGATCCTGCCCGGTTGGGCGACGTACGTCTCCCTTCCCTTGGCTTCCGCCGGGAGCTCTTCCGCCTCCACAAAGTCGTCGAGATTAACGACCTGTGCCTCAACGGCGGCCTGCTTGAGCTCCTCTTCGGTGGCGTCCTTCACGGCCTCGAAGGTGGCCTTGATGATGTCCTCTGTGATGACGTTGAGGAGTGCGGATTCGGCACCTTCCACGACGCAGCCGGCCCCAGGTCTCGTATCAAGGCGAGCAAAGTCCAAGTCAGAAATTTCTTCCTGAGCATTCGGGACCTCGGGAACCTGCATCATGCTCGGCTCTTCCATCTCCCCCAGGAGTGGGCCAGAAAGGACGATCTCCTCTTCAGCCTCCCTCGCCTGAGGTGGGTTTGGATCTTCGATCGGCTTGTGGATGAGCTGCGCCGACGCAGGTGGCACCGTCAAGAAGGGTTCCGCCTTCCCCATCAAAAAGTGGTTGTGAAACACCACATCCCTTTGGTTGGCGACCAACTGATCACGAACCTTCATAAGCTGATGATTGACAAAAACACCACGGAGCAGTGAACAATGCCATGGGACCATGACCTGTTTGTTCCTGTCCGACGCATCAGCGTGGAAGTCGTCAGGCTTGCTAGTATGGCCATACATTTCGATCGGATCGACAATGTTGATGCCAAGGGCAAGCATCGCGTCAGCGTGCTGTTCCATGCAGAGACCGTACTCAGGTCCTGTGGGAAACACTTCAGAATGATGGTCTCCTGTGAGAACGGTGATCCCACACACATCATGCCTCGCGAGGAGCAGCCTCAGATTGCGAACAGCCTTCTCCACGCGAAGCCGTTGCTTTGTCGGCCACTCATTCAGCGCCTCAAGCTCCTCCTTGGACCGGTTCGTGTACTTCGTGTTGAGGTGCCACGTGTATCCATGATATCCGTGGGACCCCCACACGTCGTTTCCGCTCCAGGAGATGATAACATGGGTCGCCACTCCGTCAGGATGGGGGTTCCGGCCAAGGAATGAATCTGCCTTGGCGTGCAGCTCATCGAGCTGTGCCCCCCAGACCATCTCGTAATGGATCGAGGTGAAGCGGCGGTCATGGCGAAGGGCCTCCTCGACGTAGATACCCACGTTTGTACGATGTGTGGGTGATCGCCCCTTGAACTGGCACAATGCGAGTGATGAATCGCCAACGACCAAAATTCTCAACCGCTCTTCCGAGGGGAGTGGGATCCTCTGTAGGGCAGGCGAGAAAAGCTTGCCCATGAGCTCAGAGGTCACATGGAAGCACGTGTACTTCGACGCTCCACGACTGAGAAGTTCAACCTTTCTGCAAATGTCATCATGCCTTGTCGCGTCCAGAACTCCTGCAGATCGTGGTCCCCATGCGATATTGGCGAGGTCCTGTGCATATCGGTAGAGCACATCGATCCAACCCCCCAGGGTAGAGTCCTGAAGAGCTGAGGTGTCTGCGTCTCCCTCTGCAAAAACCCGGACCCCATGATCCCTGTAGTATTGTTCATACAGGATCGTCCAGTGTGACGTGGGGTGCTCTGCACGCAATGCGCGCCACCGATACACAGGAACAATCCCAAGAAACAACTCATCGTCCGCAGCATCGGCATCTGGCTCGACCACAGCGTCAGCCAGGTCCCGATAGGAAGGCGGGAGCAACAGTCCAGCCATGGCGTCAGCCCGGCGATCGGGGTCCTGCAAGGCAAGCTTGAAGTCCTCGATGCGAGCCTTCCGCTCTTCCTGGGAAAGAGCAAGTGCCATTCCTTCGGACAATGGAATCGCGGGACACACAGGAGCGTAGGAATGATGAAGGGCTTGTGCCACCGCTGCGGTAGCTTTGCAATGTTCTTTGAATGCGCTGTGAATGGCTCTAGCAAGCGATTTGGGGTAATTCTCGGATTCTTTGAGGCACTTCGCATGCGAGTGATCACCAGTGCAAACTTTAGCGTGAATCTTCTTGTGTAATGTTTCAAGCGTAGTAGCAACGCACCATGGCTTTTTGACGGGATTATGACGTCTGTCTTTAAGTCCAAATCTACAACCGTCAAATTTAGCATAAACAAATGGATGAAGATCCAACCATTTTCGGATCTTACTCCAACCCCAATACTCACAGTCACGAGGCCATTCGACACAGTACTGAACACCAACCTGGTCCAACCCCTGCGAAAGATCCACAAATGAAGCCCACAACTTCCTAAAATCCTTGCGTGCTTCCAGAACGGTATCGCGGTTTTTAGGTATTTTCAGGTTGATTCTGGTCCAAGCACTGCCCCCCGTACACGGGAGACTGACCCATGTGAGAACCTGAGCGCCAGCCCTGTGATAGGATTTGGCAATTTTCAGGACTTCTTTACGAGTATCAGGAGAATTCAAATCCATGCTTTCTGTGATGCGGACGACCTTGCATTCGGGAAATTCCGAATGAGCAAGTTCCCCAATAATAGAATCTTGATTACAACAAACCTCAATGATAACCCTTTGAGCTTTCCCCTCGGGCCTGGAGGGTTCTCCCTGCTCGGCAGTCGCCGCGCCAGCGGGATGAGCCTTTGTGCGCTCAAGCTTCCGCTGAGAGATGCCCAACAATCGTAGAGCATTGCTCCACTTCTCAGTGCTTGTAAACGGCTTTGTCAATATATCCGCTGCTTGGAGCAATGTGTTGATGTATGCAAGATCGTAGTGCTTCCTACGAAATTGTTCCGCTATCCAACCTAAGTTGATTCTCTGCGTTTTATCAGCGTGGCGGAAAGCAGGTGACTTGCCAGACTCGAGTATCCGAATGGTAGCTTGGTTATCTTCAAGAACAACTGGTTGAATGGAGTGAGGAACAGACATGATCAAACCCATATCTTTGCTGGTCCTAGAGATACCAATCTCATCAACATCAACACCCCCCGAACTCCTAATTCCGGCGGTCTCCCTATGGAGGATAGCCTCCGCCTCCGCGTGGCGGCGATATTCGGCAGTTGACCTCCGGTATACCAAGACGCCAGCTTCGAAGTCGGTTGGGGGCAACGTCCTTTCATCCTCATCAATTTCTTCCCATGCAACGGCCTTCTGGTGAATTTCCCATTTCCCTTTCCGGAGCAACCAAAGATCCCTTATAGGATGGCTAGAGAGCTCAACGGGATTAGGTAGGGATTGCATCTTATTGAATACCTCAACCTGCCTTCCGTCAGAAAGGAGATACTTACCAGTTTTGGTGATCTTCGACATTTCTGGGAAGGGGTGAGTCTTAGAGTTGAAATCACCTTTAGGTACGTCGCTTTTTAGTGCTTTCAGGGCTGCATCTCCCCCCGCGTTCAGGAGTACGCTCCAAAGTGCGGATGAAGGAAGTCCCAGTGCCCTGAGAGACACGTTTGCACATACAACTTCAGCTTCAGTAGAGCTGAGCGCCGTGCTTGTTTGCTTCTTACTGAAGGCAGATAACGGAAAATAGGTATTAGGGCCTACAAGTGCGAGGAAGCCGCCTGAGGTGCTTTTGTTGTCGTGCTCTCCAGCGTGATCTGAGTCTGCAAACAGCCAGAGTTTGCAGTCCTTCAAATTATCTCCTATAAAACAGGACATGCGATGATCAAGCGTGGAGGCGACGTAGCACATAAGGCGGTGTAGTGCTTTGTCACAGTCGGTAGACCATTTGGTGATGCGGCTAGCCAGACCCTGCACAGCTCGAAGCAAATCAAAGCGAGCCATTCTAGCAGCGAAAAGTAGCTTCATGAGAACTCGGCTTGCGATGGGGGCTAGCTTCCCTTTCGGTTCAGCCTCCGCGTCAGTGGGGCGAGCGATCTTGTCATCATAAAAAGGTGTGGTCACCTTTTTGAGGTGATGCCATTCCGGGCCTGTGAGTTCTTTGTACCTATCTACAGCTTGCTGCAGAAAAGAACTCATGTCGTAAACGACTTGCTTGGTCGGAGCATACATGGCACCTTTGTGATCGCTCAGCTGATTGACATCATAAAAGGCATGTTTGCGAGCTTCTTTCTTGGCGGAGTTCTTGTCTCTCACGCGCTTAACTGCTGCAAGGGCGCTGTGCTCGGTGTGATTGGAAGTGGTAAGGTAGGTAACACCGGTCCAAAAGTCACTAGACTTCCGTCCAGGGCCCCCCGAATCCCACGTCTCGGTTGGCGAGTCCTCTTTGCCTAGAGGAGCAGCCACGGTGAGCCTGTGCGACCCGAGGTCGAGGGCGAGGGCTTCCGCCGCGCGAGGTTTGAATGGGACCTTGCGAGGCTGAACATGGTGCCGCACGATGACCCCTTCTTCCGGGAAGTACTCGGTGAAATCCTCCTTAACAACCACACTTGCAGGCTTGGCTGCGGGATCAGGCAAATGTTTGTCGAACACATGAGCAAAGGGATGATCTGAAGCATTCTGCTTCTCAGTGCGAGAGATGTGCTCACAACCCAAATATCTTCCGATTGGGGTAGGCGTGTCCATATCGATGCGGGAGCCAATGAGTTCCCAGCCTTTGGCAAGGTTCTCTTTAGGCCCGGCCATCTTGAAGTCATCCACGTACACTGCTAACAAGAGCCTAAGTGTCGGGTGAAAGAATACTGAGGGCCACGCCGCTGGGTAGACAAGCTCAAATCCTACCTCCTTGAGTCGTTTCTCGCAATGTTGCTCCCAGAAGCCGCCGCTATCTGGGTGCCCGTAGAGGGCCAACCTCAAACGCACAACGGGATCTTTATATTTCCCTATCCACTCTTTAGGCCACCGCTCCCGCGGGAGGCGTACCCAAGTGTCTGCTCCTTTAAGGGTTGTCTGAGTGTACGCCTGTTTGCCATCTGCTTGTTCTACCCCATGGTTTGGGGCATGGCCATAGGCGTCGAGAACCTTCCCTGCCTCCATGGTAGCTGGACTGGAGCCCAGCTCGCTAAAGAGAGCAGTGTCGTTGTTCTCATCTCTGACATTATTACCCTGAAAGACGGTTCGACCCTTGAACTTCCGTAAGGGGTTTCCTTTGGGAAGCTCGCTACCTTTTTCAACGCAGATTTCAAAGATCTTGCCTACATGGGCTTTCTTACCCTTCTTAGCAGCTTCTTTTGACACGTCATCCCACTCTCTGACAGTTGACATATCCCAGGCCTTCTTCTTGATGAGTTTATCCCATTCCATATCCAATGACGCTTGAGCGTCTGAATCCGTCATGAGTTCCTTTTTGCCCACTGGCCTAGCAACCATGGCAATGGCCTCAGTGATTTCCTGAAACGTTTCAGGGAATGCGCGGGCAACTTTGGTTCTATGCGGATCTTCAGCAGTTGGAACAGTAGGCATGCATGGGAAGTCCTGGGACCCAACAGTTGCTTGACCAGAAGAATCGGGACGTGCAATTACACTAAACTCGGTTCTACCAATCCATTTGTATGACAACTTCTTATTACGCCTCCTAACGTTGCGCCATTCATCTGCGTCGGGGATAATCTCTGTACCGCCTAGCGGCATGATCTTGGTGACTCTATCCCTTCCGAGAGAGGCAATTGGAACAGGGCAATCGGTGAGGTCAGGCGAAAACAACTCCTTTCTGGGAATGTAATGGAACCTGATCAACTTGTCCCCCCGGATGACCCATTCATCCTTGGAAGCATTCGCCACTGCGGCAGGCTTGCCGCTGCTGCTTGATGAACCACCACCACCAGACTCGAGTTCTCTGAGAGCATTCTCCCGGACTTCGTCTTCAATCGCTTTGTCTTTCTGCTTCTTAGACAACCGAACCCAAAGATCAGATGGAATACTATCTGGCTTTCTGGAACCTCTGGTCCCGCCATATCTACGTCCCAGGGTACCCCCCGAGTCGTAGTAACCACCCCCTTCCGGAATGGGAATCATTTTCCCACTCTTTGGATCAATGACCAACGAGGGTTCATCCTTCCGGTCGGCGTCAACGGAGTCCTGCTCAAGAGCAGGCTCGGCATCTTGGTTCGTCAGCGATTGTGACACTGGGCCTTCTAAAGCATCAGTAGCAAGACCTTGCTGGACCTTTTCGTACCTTTCACGCATGGGAAAAACAAACTCTCCGTTGGGAACATGAAACTGATAGGCCTTTACGGGTTTGAGGCATTCATGAAAATCCTGCCGATTTAATTCTTTGAGTGGAAGTGCAAGGATTTCATTTCGCCACTTCATCCCAGGCTGAAAATAATACCCAAGGAAAATTCCGGGCTCAGAAGTTGGTTCGAACCTGTCGCGCTTCCTGCGTTTGTTCTTGGGACCAACCCAGTAATCGACCCTACAACCAAAAGGAATGATCTTTCCCGGAAATGCGTACCCGAAGCGTTTATACCAAGGTGTATACTTAGGCCCATTGAGGTTGCTAACATTGAAGGCTGCGCAGGAGTGCTCCAACGCCTGAGGCCAATACACATGGGACAGCCCAGCTTGGAGCAGGTTGCTTCTCGTGCCTTCGGTGGTTGCACGGACGGCTCTTTCAGCAATGGCATTGGATTGATGAATATAGGCTTTCGACAATTCATGTCTCCACCCAAGAAATTTCGCAGAGGAGATCAACTCTTGCGCTTGGTCACTGTAAAACACACCCACCTCGTCAGAGGAGGAAACAAAATGCTGCAACGCGGCAATGCACTCGTCCTCTGAACGAAGGGCAGAAGGATATGCATAAGTGAACCCGGTGAAAACGTCCTTCATAACCAACGCCAAACGCGACTCTTCAATGGCGACACCCTTATCCCGATAAACAATGATGTGGTCAGCAGTCAGGTGATCACCAAAGGCCTTGGCTTCGATGCTGTGCGTCCCGTCCGTTTGATAGGACGGCTGCTTGTACATCTTAGCCCTTTGGCATACGTCGCAGAATGGATTCTTTGGCTGATGGGACATCAAGTGATGGGTGCTTTTTGCTTCGGCTTTCAGCTTTTCAAAAGCACGCGATCTCTTGCCATCCCCTTCGGGCACTCGACCTGCTCCATCACCTGGAGCAACACTCACTCCTTCAGGATGAGGAGGCGAATCGCTCGGTTCAGCAGGTACGAGGCTTCCTCCTTCGTCTATCTTGTATAGCACGGACTCGGGAGGATGAGCAGGAGGTGGAAGGGGTGCTACCGCCTCACGCAATTGCTCTTCAACTCTAGACCAGTCCGGTTCAGGAGGAGAGGGTTTGGCCTTAGAGGATGCGGATTTCTCCTTAGGAGAGCTAGTTGGCTTACCCTTCGATTTGGTTTCGGGTTTTCTGGCACGATCTGGAGAGCTCTTGGGCAAGTCCATCATTGCTAGATCATGTAGTGTCATCTCTTCATCAATCTCGACAGGAGCAGCAGGAACCTCAACGCTCCTCCGCGGAACAAGGAACCCATACTCTTTCAATTTGGTAATCTCATCTGGGCTAAGTTTATGGATAGCTCGGTTGACATAGGCCGTGATGCTCCACCTCTCACCTTTCCAGGGAGTGACGCAATGATAGGATTTGGGATTGAACGTCACAACATTCTCTCTTGAATCCCACAACTTCCCTACCATTGAATCTCCCGAAGGAGAGGTCATCACCTCAGTGTCACGTTGGTTCTTCTCGAGGCAGTTATCATGAACCCACAACTGCCCGCCTGTGAAGTCTCCAAGCGAGATTGTGAAATTGTCGTGGTCACGATGATTGTTCACATCCTTGTGCATCTTGACATCGGAATTACAATTCACAGCTAAGGACGTCACCGGCCCATCAACGCCATGCTTCCTAAGATATCCCAGGAGATACTGAATGACTTTGGGGTAGGACTTGGATCGTTTTGTGATCCCTTGCATTCCCCCATGAGAAAACGCTCCAAACACGAGATATTTTGAGTCGCGGTCATCTTTGACGCGGATCGCACTGCGACGGCTCTTGGGCTGTTTGAAAGTTGATTCTTTGAGTAATTTCAAGCACGACCGATGCGAAAAGTCCTGATTCTGGAGAAGCTCTTTCGCCACGATCTCGGGGTCCGTACGGCTCCCGCCTGATGATGCGGCGATCCTTCTTGCAGGGCACGCAGTTCCTTCTTTCCATGATTTGAGGTATGGAACATTATCCCGTACATCAAGGTAAACCTTCCCACTGCCAGGAACTTTGAAGTATGGTCTCTGAAATCCTTTCCAAATGAAATCATACCCTTGCTCCATGCATCTCTGACCAACCGAAAGAACGCTCGGAGTGTTGGGCAACACATATGGCTTGGCAACGCTATTGATGGAGGGAACCCCCACCTCGCATTGCCTGTTGGCATAGCCCGGACCATTCGCAGTAGAGATGTTGATTGGGCAGTCTGATTCAAATGGAACCAGATCCGCGAGCTCCCGCTCGGAGATGAGATCTTGAGCACTCCCTGTATCCCCTATCCATTCCATGGGATGAGAACATAACGCTGCATCTGGTTTGGCGGGGCACGTAACCCTTAGACCCTTTGGAATGCAGTGGTCGCAACCAAACTCGGTATCACAACAGAAGTTGCACTTTGCAGGCACACCATCGAGACTGCTCCGCACAGATGCGCGTAGCATCCTTGCTGCCATGAGCGCATCCTTGGTGGATTGTGCGTTGCCCGATGGAACGTCCTCAGTAGACCAGCTACTTGTGAAGGTACGTTTGGGGTATTCAACAGAGTACTTCAACTCTCCATCTCTAAGAGGGAAGTTGATATAGTCAGGGCTGTCATCGAATGACACCGCTGCAAGCGCCAGGTGTGTAAACTCGGAATAATGAGAGGGCCAACACGACTCATCCTTCCGGAGAGTGTAAGCATCGGCATGGTGAGCCGTGCCTGCCATCATTGCTCCTAAAAGGCAAACCGCAGTAGGAATGGAATGACCACTGCCCTTCTTGCGACCTGAGCCCCCAGACTTCCGCGAGCCATTAGAACCCTTGGAGTTCTTACTGCCCTTTGAATCCTTAGAGCTAGGCCTAGAGCCTTTGCGATCTTTCTTCTTCTTCTTGTGCCTACCCTTACTCTTGTCAGAGTGCGCTGAGCCTTTCGCGCTGCCTCCGGACGGAGCCGCAGCACCTGGCTTTCCCGTATGCAGGAAGGTGCATTTGTCTCCACGGTCACAGCGACCTTGCTTGAAGAATTTGCACTCACGTGGACCGCGACTGGGAGAGCCTGTCCTCGAGGGACTGCGCGGACCACGGCCTCTGCCGGGTGTGGGTGTGCGAGGGCGCCCGGATGGCACCTGGTGCTTATACTTACACTTTTCACCGTTTTTGCAACTACCATTCTTGACGAAGGCAATGCAGAAACCTTTGGGCACCTTCTGGGGTGCTGGCATGGCAGGCACCTGAGGGGCGCCTGACTGTCTTGCTATGCGCTCACGATTTCTCTCAAGTCTTTTGCGATTGATGTGCGCAGTGGCAGCATCATACAGAAATTTGAAGGACCTCTCAGCGGTTCCTTCTGCGGCTCTTTCGTAGACATTGATGTCGTGCTGAAGGGCTCGGCACTTTTTGATCTGTCTATGGAAGAGAGGTTCAAGGACTGTGTCTTCAGGTGTTTTCTGAATCCCTGAAAGAACAGTATCCCAGTTCCTGATGAATGTCACCAAATTCTCGTTAGTCATGGTGACTGACAACAAGTCTTCCATATCATAAACAGAATTGTGCAAAGCATTGGTAGCAAAGTACTTGTGCAAGAGAAACAGGATCTGCCTACCTCTCACAAGCCTTCCGGCGTGAGCCTCCCTCTCTTTGAGGGTGTCCATCTGGCGTGCAAAATCGCCTTCCAGAACATTGGTGATCGCCGACAAGATCTTTGCATCAAGCGTGGTGAAGCCGTCAGTGTTAATGAGATCGCTCTCCTTAGCATCCTTATCCCAAACGTTAGCAAGCCATTCAAAGGCTTTGTCTGGCTTGTTGGAGGCAGCAACGACTGCTTCGCGAACCCTAATCCGCCAATTGCGATACTGCTCGGGTGTAGGAAACTTAGGAAAGACGATCTTTTCGGCTTCTTTGGACTTGTTCTTGCTACCTTCATCCTCAGTATCCTTGTCATCCCCCGACTTCTTGCTACTCCTGGCCAGGGATTTGAGCAGAGCCTTGAGCTGCTTGGGAGATAATCCTGAGTCAGATGACGAGGAACTACTGGAATCCCTCTTCTTCTTCTTTTTGTCTTTCTTCTTGCTCTTTTTCTTCTTGTGATGGCTACTGGAGTCATCATCATCACTGCCGCCGTCATCCCCATCATCTGGGCCACCACCGTCAGGGGGGCGTCGGAACCTTGGTCCCATGCCATCCTGCGGAGGCGTGTTGATAGGAATCGTCGGAACAAGTCCCGGGGGCACAGTGGGCACAGAGCTCGAGGCGTTGGCATGAGCCTCAAGAGCGGCAATTGCCTTGCTGAGCTGCAATTTGAGCTCAGCGTTCTCTCTCTCAGCTGCTTTCCGCTTCTCGGACTCCTGACTAACGACTACTCTGAAGTCTCGGACCTCAGCAGAGAGGCGATTGATCTCAACCTCAGATGAAGCCTGCACTGCATTTGTTGCCTGGGCAGCAGAAACGCGTACACTGTCAAGCTCAGAGTTCATGAGATCAGCATTGCTCATGGCCTTAGCTTCCGCTAGGTGGAGTTGCTCCTGGAGCCTAGCATATGACAAATCTGCGTGCGATTCTGCAGATCTCAATTTTTCAGCCAAGGCATGAGCTTCACCGCGAGCCATGTTTATCTCAAGGGCCTGCGATTCCAATTGAGTTTGGCCTGTTGAGAATCTGGCTCTGGCTTGCTGTTCCTCTTCTCCAAGCCTTGTTTCGGCCTGAGCAAGTTCAACTCTTAGTTTCGACACTCCGGACATGACATGGCTACCCATAGATAGCATCTGCTCCTGAAAACTGTTCGTGATCTGACCAAGGATCTGGTTATGGCGATGCTCAGCAATCTGTTCAATCAGAGGTGATCTATCATTCTGAATGAACGTCTGGCTTACGTTAGCTTGGTTCTGCATGAGTCTTTGTTCGCCAATCATTAAGCTGTTCATCGTCGCGGAGTTCGGCATAGAGAAACTCGGTGCTGTCGGATTAAAGGTCTGAAGTGAACCTCTTTCAGCTACATTTGGAGCTGAAGCTTGTCTTTCATGAGGAGACACGACCTGCCAAGGTGTGGTGGTACTGAGGCTACTAGGTGCTCCTGTGGGGGCAGCAGCTTCCGAAACCGCACCTCTCTGGAAGAGACGCATGTCATGTATCCTCAGGGCATTGGTGGTCAAAGGAGGTTCACTGTCCCGGGGAGGAGCCTCGTCACCTGGAGCATTACCATCAAAGGACATACTCAGGCTACTAGCTCCGTCTTCCGGGATAGGTATACCTGCAGGATTAAGCGGAGCAGAATCCGACATTGCAGAGTTGGTCTAACAGAGTGCTACGGCTGATAACCTATTGTTACCAGCGGATAGCCCTGAACAATCATTTTCTTGAGCCACGGCGAACGGGTGAATACAGCTTGTGTCTTCCAGTAACTACAATTCTGAGGCAAGTCCGGAGTTGCAAGAGAAGTCTTCGAACCAGGGCTATCTCCACAGGAGGACGGGGGAAACGTTAAGAGGGTTTAGAGTTATAGAGTTGTGGGTTTAGTTGACGGTTTAGGGTTTACGGTTTAGGGGTTAGGGTTTAGGGTTTAGGGTTTAGGGTTTAGGGTTTAGGGTTTAGGGTTTAGGGTTTAGGGTTTAGGGTCCGTGTACTCTGCCCTTACCTCCAAGAGCAGCTGCCAAGTCTCGGCCGCAAACGCCTTGGTCGCCAAGGAAGCATCCTACAATAACACTACACCTTCTAGACCCAGGAGTAAGCTAGGAATAAAAAAAGGGTACCCTTTTTGGTGCTTGGGGGATTTTAAAGGAAACCCTAGCCAAAAAAACAAAGGCCTACTCCGGGTCCTAGACCTTCTAGGTGTTAGGCACTCTATAAAGAAACCCAAAACCCAAACGAGGAACAACCCGGAACCCATTTCTTATCTGGGCGCTGGTTAGGATTAGATACTTGATAAAGAAACCCCCGACAATCAACAAGGGCACACGGGTACCACTGGGCTGCCAAGACGCACTCAGAGCATCCCCAAGATATCCACATACCTTCGCGGGGGTGTCGAAGCGGCGGTTCGGGATTGGGGTCTTAAGGAACAGGGTTCAGGCTTCAGGCTTTAGGGTTCAGGCTTCAGGGTTCAGGGTTTAGGACCTGAGGCTTGGGGTGCAAGGATTTCTCAGCCGAGCGTGCCAGTAATGGCGATTGCTGTGCACGTAAGGATTAGGTGGAAGTGCGGCAGCTGCTTTGATTGACCCCCCCCCCCCATTTTTCAGCAGGTACTTATTGTCGCCCAAGATGCAGCGTCATGGGGATCAGCACGCAGCCAATCACCTTGACTGCTGAGGTATGGGATAGTGCAGGGAAGGTTGACGGTCACAGGCCGCCCCTTCCACACACCCTCCATGCTAGGTATCGCAGATCACCCATGCACACTGCGCGCGGTATCTCAAATTTAGATGGAGCCTGTTGATGTATGGCACATGATCATACCTACCTACCCAGAAAAGACCCTAACTTCATTTCTCCAGTCGTTATTTGCTCTTGGAAAAACTAGACCTACGAGCAAAAAAGCCCGAAACCCGAAGAGCAAACCCCAAGAAACTCAAAAACAAGCCATACAAGCCCAAAGCCATGTGAATCGACCCTCCTTAACACCCTAAACTCCTCTATCTCAACCCTCACGCCCCATTTCTCTGCCCCGATAATCATTCTCCAAGAACGAAAAGCTCATGGTTCAGACCTCAGCGTTCTGTGTTCAGGGTTTGGGGGACGTGAAAGATTCCGTTTCCTGCAGAACACCGTGTCCCAAGCTCACGTTTCGGCTGTGCATACTGAATTCAGGCCGGTTATCGGGTAGGCACCCTTACAGCTTTGACTGCCCCCATTATGATAAGTAGGCCTTACATGGCAGCCTATCAAACAGACCGCCCTAAAACCAACGGCCTTTAAAGGCTTGAATGGTGGGCACAGGCGCTATCAAAGCCCAGTCTACCACCAAGCAGTCGCCCACAATCCTGCACGAAACAGTCACTTCTGAGAGCGGGAATGTTAGTCTAGGGTTTAGGGTTGAGGGTTTAGGGTTTAGGATTTAGGGTTTAGGGCTTAGGGCTTAATAGGGCTTAATAGGGTTTAGGGTCGCCGGGGCTTGCAATTGAAAGCCTTTACAACTTGATCGTTGGGCCCCCAAGACCTCCCCAAGGATGTAAACTAGTTCACGATATATGCACCCAGTCCCCAGACCCAATCCCTAACCCCCAAACCCTAGACCCCAAAAACCGAAACCCTACCCGGGGGACGAGGTTTGGGGGACTCCAATGACTTGATGCCTTAGGGTTTAGGGTTTAGGATTTAGGGCTTCGGGTTTAGGATCTAGGGCTTAGGGTTCAGCATTTAGGGTTTAGGCTTTGCCGTTTAGGGTTTAGAGATCAAAGTCTCGAAAGAACGCCCTGAGAGACAGAAATCGTGTTAACGGGAGGGTAGCGAATGGGTAGCGATGTCACCCCCGTAAACCCTCAACCATTGAATCCGAAAACCTGAGACCTGCGCATAAGTGTTTACAGGGTTGAAGGCCTATAGGGTTCACGGTCTATAGGGTTTGAGGTTTATAGGGTTCCAGGTCTACAGGGTTTGGTGTGGGTTTGAGGGCATCAGGGACCCAAAGACCCCCAAAACGTAGAAGGACTCCAAGAAGGTACAGAACCAGCCTACCACTACGTATGAGGGAGGCGCAAAATCTGGACTCAGCGCTAGCACCGCACTGGTCAGCGCAAAGAGGCGCGGGACCACTCCCAAGACTTGTGACGGTGTGGCGCAAGGACAGGCAGACAAAGAAGGTACCCCTAGTTTCGGAAACCCCGACATGGTGCGTGGCGAGTGCCTCGATGAACAGGAATCCACAGAGTCTGGCGATTCCCATTTTACCCTCCCTGCTGCATGAAGGACATCCAACCACAGCCTCTTACACCCTAAACCCAAAACTCTAAACCCTACACACTCTAGGGTTTAGACATCCCCTCAGGAGGTCTGTGGGGGGCGGTGGGGGGGGCCGTGTTCCTGCAGCTCCCACACCCGAAAATGAAAAGTATGGATTTAGGGCTCAGTGTTAGGGTGAAGGGTCGGGCAGTAAGGGTACTTTCTCGGAAGCCTGCATACGAACGTAAGCTGCAGAGCACTACTCCTGAGGTGCAGCATCGCCGGAAAAATGATGGCGAGTGGAATGCTGCAGAAGCCTTCGGCGCAAGTGATTAGGGTTCTCAAGGTTTAAAGTTTTGGCTTTTGGTACTGCCCCGTAGGATACAAACCGTAGCCTAACGCACTCAAAAGCCAAAGTTCTACGGTGCTTCCAATCCGACGACTGCTGGACTTTGTGAACCAAAGTTCTAAACCCTAAGCCCGAAACCCTAAACCCTCAGCCCAAACCCTCAGCCCCAAACCCTCAGCCCTAAACCCGCTTAGCAGTTCTTTTTGTAAGAGTTTAGGACTTGGAGTTCGAGTTTAGGCTGAGGGATCGGTGTTGAAGAGGGGGCATTTAGGGTTCAGGGTCTAGGGTTTAGGGTTGGGGACACACCGCTCTTTGAAAGAAAGCATTTCCAACGAAGGCGGAAGAGGCTGCCCAGCATGGAGATGTAGATTGGCAGGTATTCCGCCATGGTGTATGCCAAGAAGCCTGTTTAGGGTGTCGTGGTGTAGGGTTTAGGGTAGGGTTTAGGGTTTCGGGTTTAGGGTTTCGGGGTTTCGGGTTTTAGGGCTTCGGGTTTAGGGTTTTAGGCTTGTCTTGCGTTCTGTGGTTCACAAGAGTGGAGTATGGAGATTTTGGGCTTTTGGTTAAGGGCTGAGGCTAGGACCTTCTGTGCTTGGAACTCATGCGAGTGTTGTAAGCCCCAAACCCTTTAGGTGCTGAACGTCCAATGGGTCTGGGGAGACGCAACCCGGATCACGCGCCAAATCCTCTCACAACTCTTTTAATACTTAATGCCCCTAAACCCTAAACCCTAAACCCTAAACCCTAAACCCTAAACCCTAAACCCTAAACCCTAAACCCTAAACCCTAAACCCTAAACCCTAAACCCTAAACCCTAAACCCTAAAGTCAAAACAAACCCTATAAGCTTGGGAATCCCCCCGTCTCGCGGCCCATGGCAAAGGTGACGGCGGTGCGGAAGAGATTCTTCAACCTCTGTTTGATCGAAATTCAACCCAGGTAATATAGGGGCCGGAATACTTAGAATAGGCTTTTTTTGTTTTGTTTTCCTTTTTGTTTTTTTGTTTTTTTTTTGGGGGGGGGTGGGGTTATTATTATAGTTTTGCTACAAAGGGACCATAAGGGAATATTATTAGCAATTATTCCGACCCCAAAATTAAACTCGGAGTTCTAGGAAAGTATTGGCACTTAAATCACAACTCCAGAAGAAATGTCTAGTGCCAGGCCTTGGTAGATTAAACTTAGGCACCAAACCCTTTGGCCCGAAGACTTGTCAACGTCTAGAACCCCCAAAACCCAAAACCCCACACATCCTACCTTTAAAACTTATTCAACACTTTAAGACCCGGGAGCTCCCTCCTAAGTCCTTGACACCATAACCCCAAAAGCCCAAACCCAAAGCCCCAGAATATGTAAGCCCCTAGGTTAAACCCTAAGCACTAAATGGCGCTGAACCCTAAACCCCAAACCAAGCCCCATAAGCCCCAAAGCCTAAACTCTAGACCTATCTCGCCGGCTTCAGCCCTCCAAACCTTTCCGGTCCTCACGACCTACACGATACCAGGATGGGCTGATGGGGTTTAGGCTGTAGGGCTCAGGCTACGAGAAAAACACGCACTGGTGATTCAAGCTAAGCCCGAAATTCTTGAACCCCAAACCCTCACCACCATTCTTCCTGAGAAGACTGCGACCCCACACTGGCCCTGCTGGTGCTCTGGCAGACGCCCAAAAAACGTTCAAGAGAGGAACGTTGCTGTTTCTGAGTTGGGTCCCAGGATCAAGTTGAGATGCGGTTTAAGACGTAGGGTTTATGGCTTAGGGTTTTTAGGGTTTACGGTTTACGGCTAGGGGTCCAGGATCACCCTGGATTGTCCCAAGTACCCTGTACTTAATGATGCTTAAAGGTGAGCCGGTGCTTGAGTATGCTGTGGTACAGGGGGCTAATTTATGCAGATTGCATGAGGACTTGCACCCTGGGATCTGATTCCGCACTCCTGTCCTTCTGCCAGTAAGTTCAGCATACCTCGACGGCCAATAAGCTGCCCAGGTTTTAGGTGATTCTAGCCCCTGAAGCCCTAAGCCTAAACTCAAAACCCTCTACAGCTTAAACCCTAAATCGTAAAGCGCGGACAAAGGGCCACTTCCGTCGCAGAGAAGGCGGGAAGTCTCCGAAGAGCTTTGCTTCACAGATGGTGAAGGTCGGAAACCTTGGATTTTTCGGGAGCTTGAAGGGCTTCAGGGTTTAGGGTTTAGGGCTGGGGGTTCAAGATTAGAGTTTAGGATTTGGGGTTTGGGGTTTCGGGTTTAGAGTTTATGGTTTTGGGTTGTTTAGGGTTTAAGGTTTAGGGTTTAGGGTTTAGGGTTTAGGGTTTAGGGTTTAGGGTTTAGGGTGGGCTGCAAGCCTCTTGTCGCAGGGGCCGGATCAGGGCTCAGGAGGAAACGCGGAAAGCCAAGCATGCAGCCCAATCTCTGTAAGCCGGCCTCGGCATCACTGACGACCCGGGCTCTCTCTCGCTCTCTCTCTCTCTCTCTCTCTCGCTTTCTCTCTCTCTCTTGGTGTTGAGGGATTAGGGTTTGTGTTGCTTAGCTTAGGGTTTGGGATGTGTGGTTTGTGGGGTTTAGGGTTTAGGGGGGTCAGGGTTTGGGCTGAGGGTGTGGGTTGTCGGTGTGCGGGAAAACTTCCGGGACGTGCCGAGGATCATCGCGATAGGGAATGTGCAGACGATGGCGAAGATGTAGGAGAGCCTCGAAGGCAGGTGGGTTCAGAGTTTAGGGTTTAGGGTTGAGGGTTCAGGGTTTAAGAAATTTAGGGTTTAGGGCCGGGAGGAGGGGACTTCCCCAGATATTCGGGAGCCCTTTAAAGGGGGTGTCTACAAGGGGTTTGGCGCGCAAGACATGGACAATTCCTGTAATATCACATATTCCATCTGTAGCACATCTGTTCTAGTCAATAGTCTAGTAGATGGAGAAGACATTTTCTTTTTTCAGGGGGGGTGCAGGATTACTCAAACTTTCCCTTGACTCGTCCCACGAAAACAGAGCTGTAGGAGCTAATTAAGGGCACAACGGGAGACAACTCGTCAGCAAGTCCTAAACCTTCTTTCCCGAGCACTTTACTTGCATACCATCCCCGCACAGCATAGCAAAAACAAACCCTAAACCATAAACTAAACCCTAAACCCTAAATCCTAAGCCCTGAACCAGTTTCTGAGCTTGCAAGCAGGGCCGCTGGATCAGCGATCCGAACGTACCGGAGAGCTCATTGAGCACCACCGTTTGCACGGCATTGCCCCAGGCGCAGTAGCCCACAATGCCTCGGCTAACCCGTTACCCTGAACCCTGAACCCTAAGCAACCTTAAATACTAGACCCTAAGCAACCTTGAACCCTGAACCCTAAATCCTAAACCCTAAACCCCAAACCCTAAACCCTAAGCTCTAAGCCCTAAGCCCTAAACCTCTTTCAAAGGGGTCTTAAACTGGCACGGCCACCGAAGCCAGTGAGGATGACCACGAAGAGCAGCATCATTCCTTCAACTCCGGGCTTCGGAGCTTCCGAGATTAAGGGGGCCCCTCTGAAGGTTTCTGAGTTTGGGTTTGGGGGGGGGATGGGGGGGGGCACGAATTTTGGTGGAACCGCCCAAGCAATCATCCTGATTCCTCACTGCTAAGATGAGAGAGGCGCCTTAACCCTCAACGCGACGTAAACAGCAACAACCCTAAAACCCTAAAACCCCAACACCCTAAAATCCTAGAACCCCCAAAACCCGAAAACCCTAGGCACCAGTAAGGTCTTGGGTTTTGGGTACAGGCCGCCCATGTTGCTCAGCATTTTTGAAAATTACTACAGTTACAGTTACTGTTAGTGTTACTGTCACTGTCGCTGTCGCTGTCGCTGTCGCTGTTGCTGTTGCTGTTACTGTTGCTGTATTACTATTACTATTACAATTACTATGACTGTTGCTAGTACTAGTATTGTTATGCTTAGTACGAATAAAGTACACATACATATATACACATTTCTTAGTATTATTTGGGGAGGGGGTGGGGTGACTCTTTATGGGGTTTGGGGCTTAGGGTTCACCCCTAAACCCTAAACCCTAAACCGGTAACCCCTATACAGGGTTTGGGACTTTGGTCGGTTTACAGGGAGCCCGGGGACGCCCAACACACGGAAAATTAAGCGGCTTCAAGGCTTTGGGTTGCCAGGGACCTAAACGCCATATGCCCTCAAAACCCTAAACCCCAAAAGTCCTATAAGCCCTAAACTCCAACAAAGCTCTAAATCCCATAACTCCTGTAAGCCCTAAACTCTACACTCCATGAGCCTAACAAGCCTAAACCCTATAAACCCTTGTGACCCTCTAACAGCCTACACTATAAGCCCTAAACACTATAAGCTCTAACTACACCCACAACCCCTCAACCCCATGACCCTCTACAAGCCTCAAACCCTGAAGCCAAAACCCATGCTCTGAACCCATGAACCATAAACCTAAACCCATGTAGGCCCCAAGGGCCCACGAGCATTCCCGCAAAGAGCTCGGGCCGTTCCATGTTCTCACCTGAGCGTGGATGGTCGGGTTCTAGGGTTTAAGGTTTGGGGTTTCGGGTTTGGGGTTCTAGGGTTTTAGGCTTTCGGGTTTAGGGTTTGGGGTTGTAGGGTTTTAGGCTTTCGGGTTTAGGGTTTTAGGGTTTAGGGTTTGGGGATTTGGGGTTCTAGGGTTTTGGGGTTTTAGGGTTTTGGGGTTTTGGGGATTTAGGGTTTTAAGGTTTTAGGGTTTTAGGGTTTTGGGGTTTTGGGGATTTGGGGTTTTGGGGTTTTGGGGTTTTGGTGTTTTGGGGTTTTGGGGTTTTGGGGTTTTGGGGTTTTGGGGTTTTAGGGTTTTAGGGTTTTGGGGTTTTGGGGTTTTGAGGTTTTGGGTTTTTGGGTTTATATAGGGTTTCGTGCTTAGGGCTTTGGGGTTTGGGCTTTAGTGTTCGGGGTTTTGGGTTTAGGGTTTTAGGGTTTTAGGGTTTTAGGGTTTTAGGGTTTTAGGGTTTTAGGGTTTTAGGGTTTTAGGGGTTTAGGGGTTTAGGGGTTTAGGGTTTAGGGTTTGGGGTTGAGGGCCTTAGGGTCTGAGGGTGTGCGGGTTCTGGGGTTGAGGGTCTTAGGTTCTGAGGGTTTTCGGTGGTTCTATGGTTGAGGGTCGCAGGGTTGAGGTTGTGTGAGGGTCGCGGATTCTTGGGTTGAGGGTCTTAGGATTGGGGGGGGGGGGGGGGTTTGGGGTTTGGGGTTTGGGGATGCAGGGGCTTTGGGTCTGAAGGCTCCGCCAAGGACAGGGCTCCCCCAAGGACCGTGCCTTGAGGGGAAGGCTATGATGACGCCTACACCCTAATCCCCTAAACCTTTAAGGCCCCAACAAGACCCCAAGCCTTTAGGGTTTCGGGTTCGATTTGGTTCCATGGCTCCAAAGCACTCAAAGCCCTAAACCCCTCATCTCCTAAATTCCTAATCCCCCTAAACCCCCGGATCCCCCAAATTCCTAGACCCCTACACCCCAACGCAACTAAACCCCCTGTTCACGCTCAATGCTCCAAAGAATCACCCAAACCCCAACAACGCTGAGAGCCCAGTGGTACTCCGAAGTCTCAGGCTTGGGCTCTGCGTGCAGGCCAGCAAATATAATCCCCAATACTAAACCCTAAACCCTAACCCTAAACCCTAAACCCTAAACCCTGAATAGGGTCAAGGTTAGGGGGTGGAGGGATTCATGGTTCACAGCCCAGCGGCGGATGGGTATGACCAGCGCTATGCCCTGGCGACTTCGAGGTTCGAGGTGTTTGGGTTTTAGGGTCTAGGGTTTAGAGGGGGCTTCAAGGCTACAGGGTTCAAGGGTTTCAGAATGTTATGCGGGGGGGAGGTAACGTTCCGCCAAACTCTCAACTTTAAACTGGTAGGAGCCGTTATGGTCGAGGCCTTACCTGTCATCATTGCCCTATACGCCTCCATAACGGCCCTCGCCGGGCCTCAGTCAACCCTAAACCCGGAGTTCGGGGGTGAGTGGGTGGTCGAAAGGGCGCTACATCTAAACCTCAAAATCTTGAACAAAGTGCCAACCTACATCCCCGAGACTGCAAAACTTTTCGGCATGTCTAGCGAGGGGCGTGAGCTGCGGGTCGATACAAGGTGGCCCAACAATCAGAGAATAGAAAGGGTTTTAGGGTTTGGTTTAGGGCAATTCGCCCCCATATGAAGGGACCAAGGGGTTCCAGTGGGCATCTAGGATACAGCCGAACAAGTTAAGGCCTTAGGGGTTGGGGCTTAGGGTTAGACAGAGCTGAGGGGGGACTAAGGCTATTCAGCAACCATGGCCTAGTGGTTTCGTTTTTTTTTTTGGGAGGGGGGGGGGGGAATCCCACTCCCTACCCCTAATGGTTCCCAGCCCAACAACATCCCCCCCCCCCCTCGCCTCGAAGGCGTAGACGGCCGTGCCGGCAAAGACCATGACCCTCTCTGGCGGGGCGAACGCAACCACCTGCTGGCGAGCGAAACGAAGCTGGAAAACGGGTACCATTGCGCATCCTTGTTTCTACAGCCCCATATCAACAATCTACCCACCTAAACACCGAACCAGAAACTGGCCCTCTGAAAGATTCCTAGAGAAGATCCTCTCAACCCCATAAAAAAGTCCCAAAAAACTTGCCCTAAACTCTAAACCCCCAACTCAACTCTGAACCCGGCCTCCTCCGAAATCCCCTTCTCCGATACCGTGACCACTGCGGACACAGCCTTCTCAAGCGTTCGAGGATTGAGGGTTTAGGGTTTTTTATATAATATATATATATATATATATGTAGGGTTTAGGGTCATGGATCGAGAGTTGAAGGCTCTAGCATTTTCAGGTGTTGGGCTTGGCGTTATGTGGTTTAAGGCGTTGGCTTTGGTTGTTGCGGACACAGGGCTCGCAGACCCTTCGATCTAGGCTTTGCGGGGTTTACGGTTTAGGGTGTAGGGTAGGGCATGAGGCTTGAGCGTGGGGTTGGAGAATAGACGCCCGCACCCTCCAGCAACAACACGTCTAAACCTCGACACCCTGCCCGAAAACCTCGAAACTCTGAAACTCGAGCCGATTCGAAACTCTCTTTAAAAGCTTCACTCTCAGGGAACCCCAAACCCTAAACCTTAAACCCCAAACATCCGTCCAATCGGCGACTGCGGCAATAGCAAACATGATGATGGCATCGCCGATCAGGTTTGACACTTTCATCTTGCCTGCAGAAGATGTGCTCAGGGTTTGGGGTTCAGGCTTTAGAGTTTTTATTTTCACGTGTAGGGCTTGGGGTTTTGAACTTTTCGGGGATCTGTCGGGGGGTCCACGAAGCGTATGTAGGTTGGGTGACCCTAAGACCCTGAAACCCTGCAACACTTGACCTGAATGCGGCCAGGGGTACTGATGCGCCGGATCCAACCCAGCCTGCTAGGGGGTCTGGGCTTCTTTTGGCATTGGGCGTTGGGCTTTGGGCCTTGGGTTTAGGGCGAAGAGGTAGGGGTTCCTCCTTTGGTGGGGCAGGCGAGGCTTCCGCCACAAGAGGTTGTGAGCCCCCGAACCCGACTCTCAGAAACCCCTAAATCCCTAAAACCTACATCCTGAACCAAAACTGTGGGCGTTCAGTCAGTTGGCGTTGGAAGTAGGACAGCGGGGTTTTGGGTTTGTCTAAGGCTTACAAAACGGAATGAATCAAGTTCTGGCAGGAATGAGGGTGTAAGCTTTCGACAAAAGACTCAGACTGCCGGGGGGTTGAGAGGGGAAAGGGGGGAGGGACGTAGGAGCCTGAAGCAAGAAGACCAAACTCAGGGCTTGGGGTTTAGGGTACGTTTGTGGCTTGATCTGTAGGGTTTAGGGTCCCTGAACCCTCGACCCTTTCCCAGTTCGGAGTTCGGAGGCTTCAAATCTTTGTTCGCTTCTCTGGCTCAGAGCGGGCTCCCCAAACTCTGACCCAGTTCTGGGTCTAAGGTTGGGATTAGGCTTGGGATTCTTGACACAAGCCTGACCGCCCAAACCCTGAACACTGAACTGAACCACTGAAACCCTAGACCCACAATTCTAACCCCTGAACCCGAGCTAATTGCTCCTGTCTATTGCTGCTCTTCTCACGTTGTCATGCGCATCTTGGGGAGATTGCCACTCCAAATATGGAGTCCATAATCCCGAAGGGCCTGTTTAGGGCCTAGGGTTTAGGGTTTAGGGTTTAGGGTTTAGGGTTTAGGGTTTAGGGTTTAGGGTTTAGGGTTTAGGGTTTAGGGTTTAGGGTTTAGGGTTTAGGGTTTAGGGTTTAGGCCTTTCAGTTTCACGCTTCACCCAATTCACTGAGCCGAGCAGCGGAGTCATCATGAACGAAATGGCACAGAGGATGGCCGCTGTTGGAGGGACGGGCAGCTTCCTGAGATTGCGACTGCAAGATGTTCGACACCCTAGCAGACCTACGGACCTTAAACCTAGAACCCTTAACCCTTGAACCCTAACCACAACCACAGGAAGCCCTACGCAGGGGCCATGCGCCCCAAGACCATCTCCCCCCCAAAAAACTCAATCCCCAAACACCCAGAAAACATCAACACAAGTAGAAACCTGCAAGCCCGGTCCCGCGACTTTAGGGTCTTTGGGAGAGGTTTAGGGTTTAGGGTTTAGGGTTTAGGGTTTAGGGTTTAGGGTTTAGGGTTTAGGGTTTAGGGTTTAGGGTTTAGGGTTTAGGGTTTAGGGTTTAGGGTTTAGGGTGTAGGGTGTAGGGTGTAGGGTGTAGGGTGTTAGGGGTTTAGGCTTTGGGTTTGAGGTTTAGGGAGTTCAGGGCCTTAAGACACAAAAGGTTTTGGGCTCCCCCTAAAGAAACCCAGAGCAAGAAGCCTCTTATGGAGAAGGCAAGATGCCATGTCGCCAAGACCCTCTGCAAGGTCGACGAGATGAAGATGAAGTAGGATGTGCAGAAACCTCACTCGGATGGCCCTTAAAACCCTCTGAAAACAAAGATTCCTAAGTATGACCCTCTTAATAAACCCAAAATAAGAGAAAACATCCTCACTACTTACCTGGAAGCCCCTTTGACTTAGTAAGTAGGGTTAGAAAGGTGGGTTAGGAGTTAGGAGGACTATAGTAGGGTTTAAAGGGGATACGAAGTACACTTATCAAAGGAGCTTCCAATTAGGAAGGCGGCCCTTGCAAACCCTCGGAAAAAACAATCCTAAACATGACCCTCTTTAAGCGAAAAAAGGTGAAAACATAAAATCATTCCAAGGGCCTACCTAGCTCAGCAGACGATCGGATGTCCTTACTAGCTGCTTAAGAACCTCCAACAGATTAACAAATATCCTTCCTTATAAGGGTGGTATAGGGATGATTATCTTCGTTTGTTTTTTTTGTGGGGGGTTCTGAAGCAAAGAACAGTTTCAAGGGGGGCTGGTGACTCGAGGGTTCGAAATTTGGGCTCTAAGGGGTTTAGAGTCTTGGTTGTTGACCTCAAGCATCTACACCCTGAACTTCGAACCCTAAACCCTGAACACTTCACCCTAGACCCTGAACACTTAACCCTAAACCCTGAACACTTAACCCTAAACCCTAAACCCTGAACCCTAACCCCTACCCAGAGGGAACCAAGGTGCCGAACTGGGACAAGGACACCTGCCCGGCGATCAAGGCGTATCCCAGGCCTACGCAAAGCTGGAGCAGCGTTTTGGGAGGGTTTGGGGTCTAGGGTTTGGGGCGCAGGGTTCAGGATTCAGGGTCCAGGGCTTAGGGTTTGGGGCTTAGGGTTTAGGTTTAGGGTTTGGGGTTTGGGGTTTTGGGTTCAGGGTTTAGAGTTTAGGTATCAGGGTTTAGGGTTTGGGGCTTAGGGGCTGCGATAGAGCCCTGTCGGACGCGAGCGGCAGCTCATTAAGGCTGCGTCAACTACATAAACCGTTGCTAGTATCCCCAAAGGACCCAATATATGCACTCACCCAAAATCATATACCTCAGCTCGTCCTCAAACCCCCCCCCCCATGTTGCCTCCGTAGGCCTTCTGGCCCATGAGCGGATAGGACAAGTTGCACCTCTGGTGGCCTTGGGCTGATGGTCCCTAAGCCGGTTTAAAGGCTTCCATGGCTTAGGGGTATAGGGGCGTGGAAGTAGAGCTTGCGCAGGAGCGATGGCCATCAAGGCTGTAGGGTTTGGCAGAACCATAGACGTAAACTAGCTACCCTAAACTCTAAACACTCATTCCTAACCCAAAGCACCCATTCTTCCCTCACACGTTGGGGAAGCAGAAGTAAGTTGACCACTCGGGTAACCGTATAGAGCAGGGCACCACACGCGGGCCTAAAACCTTCTGAACCCTCTGAACCCTCTGAACCCTCTGAACCCTCTGAACCCTCTGAACCCTCTGAACCCTCTGAACCCTCTGAACCCTCTGAACCCTCTGAACCCTCTGAACCCTCTGAACCCTCTGAACCCTCTGAACCCCCTGAACCCCCTAAACCCTCTGAACCCTCTACACCCTAACCCACCTCGGGCTCCCTCAAACCACAAGAAGCACCCTCAGCTCCTTCCTCAAGCCGTAAAACCACAAACTCACGCGCACACAGAACAACCAACAGTGAACACGCTGAAACTGAATGCCTCAACTAAGACCAGGGACACTGGCCCAGTAAGAGCACGCCGGCTGTTGAAATCACGCAAGAGCCACTCATCAACCTCTGAATCTGTTTAGGGGTTAGTGTTTAGGTTTACGGGTGTTTAGGAAGCCAACTCCAAGTAAGTCCTTAGGGGTCGTGTTCTCGGGGGAGGGGGGGGGGGTGTAAGCCACCGAGTTTGCTGGGGTCCGCCATGCTGGCCCACCCTAAACCCTAAACCCTACACCCTGAATGACCCAAACCCCGGCATGAACCCTAAATCCTGCATGAACCCTAAACTACCCCATACTCTAAAACCCGAACCCAAGACCCGAAGTCCTAAGCCCTGAACAGGATTTCGGTGTTCCGTTTCCTACTTTGGCACGATGGAGGTATTTCAGCGGAAAGTGGCTATGGGATCCCTGTAAATTCGGGTTTAGGGTGTGGGGGCTTAGGGTTCTGAATTAGGGGTTAGGGCTTGGGGTTTACTGTTTAGGGTTCTGAATTACGGCTTAGGGTCTGGGGCTTGGGGTTCTGAATTATAGGTATCCCTCACTCCAAGCAGCAGTAGCGCCCACGCCCACCCGGCATTGGTAACCTGGGTGTGTGCAATCAGTTCTTGTGGCGAGGCTTCATAACTTGTTGGGCTCGCAAGCTTTAGGTTCTGGGTCCGGGTTGACGGTTTCGGGTTGAGGGCGGCTTTTAGGGTTTCGATTTCCAATATCCAAGCCCAGGCGCTCCCCGAACCTGAACCCTACCTGAGGACTCTGTTTGCGCAGACTTTTCTGGGTTAGACCTACTAGTCACGGGGTTACTAAGCTGTACGTAGGTTCGTGGAGGTCCGAGTGGGCCCTAAGCCCTAAACCCTAAACGCTCACGCGGGCGCGCAAACAGTCCAGACCTTGCTGGACAAGCCTTAGAGCGAGCAAGACCGACAACATGAAACCCTCAACCCCAACCCGTAGAACCTAAACACCACTCCCTAAACGCTGACGCCCAATCCCCGCACCCCTTAAGAAGAGTCCCAGAGCAATGGTGTGAAGTTCTTGCGGCTTGGGCTTTAGCTGGTGTGAGGCTATTTTGAGTTTAGGGCTTCGGGAGCAGGAAGAAGTAAAACCCTAAACCCTGAACCCTGAAACCCTGAAACACCCTCAAAACCCTAACCCGAGACACCATCTGTCTCCAACCTTAAACTTCAACCCCACAATTTGCCGGCGAAACACCGCCTGCGGCATAAAGAGGATGCCAGTGGCAATGAAGGCCTTAAAGGTACCTGGTACGGGTCTTGTGACCTTTGGGGTGGGGTGGGGATGTTGGGTAAGGGTTGGGGGTAGGGTTTGGGGTCCATGGTTTGGGCTTTTGGGCTTTGGGTAGTTTACAGTTTAGGGTTTAGGGCACTTGCTTTTAGGTCTATAGGGTTTACGGTTGGGCTTTGGGTGGTTTAGGGCCATTTGGGTTTTGAGGTTTCAAAGACCCCGATCCTACCAAGGAGACCACTTTGAGCTTGTAGTTGAGTTTAGGATTCAGGGCTTAGGTTTAGGCCTTCCTGAGGCTTCGGGTTTAGGAGGCACGCGAAGATGCATGTTGCCTCCTACGTTTGCCACAGATTTGGCTGCACAATCTGCGGAGACACGAAAGCACCCTAGCCCAACTTTGGACCTAAACCCTGAACCCGAAACCCGAGACCTCAGCCCGAAATCACATGGCGCTTGCGGCACGATGCCGGGCTTCGGGCGCAAGCAATAAAGACAGAGACCATGACTCTCTCAAAGGGGGCTGCACATGCTTGAGGAACTTTCATGAAAAACTTGCAGAAAGGACTGCCGACAATGGCAATCCCCATATGAATCCTTCCGAGAGTCTCAGGCACGCCTTGGCGAGCGACATCTTCCTTCGAGGGGTGCTTGCAGGCTGGCCGAACCCTAAAACCATAAAACCATAAAATCCTAAAACTCCAAAACCCTGATTTTATTCCAAAAACCCTAAGACCCTAAAATCCTAAACCCTAAAACCCAAAAACCCTAAAATCCTAAAACCATAAAACCATCCAACCATAAAACCCTGAACCCGAAGAATGCAGGAGCCTTATGTTGCTTGGGGATTCAGGGTCGACTGAGGATGACAGGGCTTTAAACTCGTCTGGCTGCCTTCGGAACCTCAAGCCAGGCTTAGGGTTGTGGGGTTCAGGGTTTAGGGTTTAGGATTTAGGATTTAGGGTTTATATGACTCCTGACTCTGTTCAGGTCGGTTTAGGGTCGGTTGCGGGTCGGTTGAGGGTCGGTTGAGGGTTTAGGGTAGGTTTGGGGATTCTTCCCAAGTGCCTTCAACTCTGTGGTAGGTTTGGGGTTCTTTCCTAAATACCTCAAACCCTACACACAACCTCCAAAAGACCAGTGTAGTTCAAACACTTGGAGAGAAATGCCATTGGACATGTTCCAGTGTCTGGTCTAGGGAGATTTGGTTTGCGGAGCTTCGGGTTCAGTTTGGTGTCGTTCTGATGGCACTGAGGGCATTCACACAGCAGTTTGGGGTATGTGGTGCTGTTTGTTAAAAGTATTCAGGGCTGTTGTAAGGGTCTATTGGGACGTGCTGAGCTCCACGAGGAGGGTCTAGGGTCTAGGGTTTCGGGCTTAGGGTTTAGGGGTGACCCTAAGAAAGCCTGCCGCAAAGCAGTTTGGGTGCAAGCTGACCCCTCCAAAAAACCAGCAACTTTCGTAACCACCCTGTGAGTTCTTGGGCGGCTTAGGGTTAAGCAGGCCTATGGGGGTTGTTAGAGGGGGGGGGGTTTAGGTCCTATAAAGGCCGGTGGCCTCTTTATCTGGTACCCTTACACCTTAATATGGCCCCTAAATACCCTACTAGGATCCCCGAAGAAAAAGGCCGCTACAAAACAGAAACCCTACTTTAAGAGACCACCAACCCATATATATATATATATATACATATATATATACATACATATACATATATATATATATATACATAGATACATGTGTATATATATATAAAGTCAACCCTACAAAACCTTCGCCCCAGCGGCTTCTTCGCTGCGCCCTGCGATGGTGGCAGCGACTCTGCCAGCAAACGCGTCTGGCGGCCCTGGAAATCCTGTCTGTAGGGTTTAGGGTTTCGGGTTTCGGGTTTCGGGTTTCGGGTTTAGGGTTTAGGGTTTAGGGTTTAGTTTGAGGCGTAGGTTACTTGGGGTTCAAAAGTTATAGGGTTTAGGTTTAGGTCTTACGGTTGCAAGGTGTTGGGGGTGCTTGATGTACTTGGAGTTGAGGGTAACGCGTCGCCCAAAATCTTGAAAGGAAAAGAACCCCTACGCCTCGGACGTTACTCGGTCATGCCGGCTTGCGGGGGGTAGGCGAGTGGGGAGGCGGGTGGCTACATATTACTGGGCTTTTTGGGGGGCCTTCTGGCGGATCTGGACTAGTTTGAAGGCAGTGGCTTCTTCAACAAAGTGCCGATTTACCGGCTTGGTTTCGGGCTTTGGGTTTTAGGGCTTTAGGGTGTAAGGTTTTGGTTTAGGGTATAGGGCTTAAGGTTTAGGGAGCCCTAGAAGGTTATCCTGCGTAGCACACCTTGAGCCCTGAACTTTCGAGGAAGCTCGTGCGATCCTCATCGCCATCGCCGATGTCCGCCACAAAGAACGCAATGTAGCCTCAAGGTTGGGAAACCCCAAATAACCCCAAAGCCAAAGCTAGCTGATTCATGTCATTAAGACAGCTCTCAAGACGCCCCCAAACCCTCCCAAACCTTCTCTTCAGCACGCCTATGGTGGCTTGGGGCCAGGGGCCTTTAAAACTTTAGGGTTTGGGGTTTAAAGGGTTTAAGGTTTCGGGTTTGGGGGAAGAGAGTCGCATTCAGGGCCTTCGGCTTAGGGTAGCTATAAAGGTGTAGGGCTGACAGCTCAGAGTTGAGGGTCTCATGACGAGTACGACCGCAGCCAAGCTGCTCATCTGGTCGCGGATCTCATTCGCCAACCTCGGGCAATTCGCGATGCACTAATCCGTAGAAGCCTGCTGCCTCAAAGACCTTACGCCTGACAAACTGAAACCCTACACACCATGCTAAACACAAATCACACGCACACAAGCACACGCGCACACAAGAGCAAAAAAAAACAAACATCGTAGGCCCTAAACCTGAAACCCTGACCGCAAACCCTAAGTCTCGAACCCGAACACCAAACCTCAAACCATAACACCCCACAAAACAAACATCATATCCCAAACATCGGCCAGAAGAGGGTTTAGGGCCTAGGGGTCAGGACCCAGCAGCACGAAGGAGGAGTCGTTCGTCTCCAGCGCAACGGGACTCGGAGATTCGTTGCTCACGCCCTCCTCCAGTCCTCCAGCACAGGGTTTTGGGTTTCGGGGTTGGTAGGACTGATCGGAATTTATAGGGTTTAAAGGGCCTTATTACAGGGGTTTATAGGGTTTATAGGGTTTGTAGAGTTTATAGGGTTCATAGGGCTTTTATAGGGTTTATGATTGGAGTTTAGGGTTTAGGGTTTAGGGTTTAGGGTTTAGAGTTTAGGGTTTAGGGTTTCGGGTTTCGGGTTTAGGGTTTAGGGTTTAGGGTTTAGGGTTTAGAGTTTAGGGTTTGGGCGGGTTTAGGGTTTAGGGGTTGAGGTCACCACGAACTCTAACACCTTCTGTTGGTTGTTTTTTATTTGGGGGGGAGGGGGGGAGGGGGGGAAGGGCGAGGGGTAATACCTCTGACATAAGAGGGCTTTCCTTTTGAGTGTACGTACTCGTTTAGTTGAAGGGCCCAGGGCTTGTAAGGAGTAAGCCTGCAAATAACACTACCTCCGTGTAGACTGCCCAAACCCGAAATGTTCAACACGGCACACCCTAAAGCCCCAATACGTGGACCCTACCCAAAAAAACCCCAAACACGTTTCAAAGGCTGAAGCCTAAACCCCAAAACCCCAAACCCTAAACTCTAAACCCTATATATAACCCCAACCCTAAACCCTAAACCCTAAACCCTACACTCTAAGTCTCTCCGGGAGTCTGGGTGCGCCGTTTGTCGGCTGCGGCTCAGATTCATCGCGCCGCCTCAGGTGCTCGAGGAGGGCTTGGGGTTGCAGGGTTAAGGCTTTTCGGGGGTCCGGAGGATGGGATTTAGGGTTTAGGGTTTAGGGTTTAGGTTAGGGTTTAGGGTTTAGGGTTTAGGGTTTAGGGTTTAGGGTTTAGGGCTTAGGGTTTAGGGTTTAGGGTTTAGGGTTTAGGGTTTAGGGCTTAGGGGCTTACAGGGTTTATGGGTTGGGGCTTTTCGGTTGAGGTCACGGGGTTAAACGTGAACCCTGACCTCAACCCTTTGGGCATTGGAGCCCGAGGCTTATCTTGGGTTAAGGGTTCAGGGTTTAGGATTTAGGGTTCAGGGTTTAGGATTTAGGGGTCAGGGTTTAGGGTCTTGGCCTCAGTTCCTGCGCTTATTTCGAGTGGCTCGGCTGGCTTCGCTGGACTGCGGGGTTAAGAACTTAGGGTCAGGTGTTGGCTATTTGCCAATAGAGGGTGTTTTTGCAACATACAGAGCCTTATATTGGGGGTTCCCCTGTCAGGGTGTGCCTGAGGGTAGCGCGCAGCCCATCTCTTTCTCCCTCACACTCCGGTTGCCAGTGGAGTTGTTGGAAAGCATTCAACGTATTCAAAAGCATTCAACATTTGAACTACACATTCGTTTCCCCCAAACCCATCGAAACACGGCCCAACAACCTCCCACGCTCAAACCCTGAACCCCAAAACCCCCAAACCCTAAAGCCCTAAACGGTTTACCCCATGCAGAACCCAAAACCCCAAAACTGACAACCTAAACTCTAAACCTCGAACCCTGCTTTTTGCTGTGCAGTCTTAGACGTGAAGGCTTAGAGGACTCCCTGAACATGCTGAAGCTTCCGCTTGCCTCGAAAGAGAGAGAATAGTGGTTCCGGGCCCTAAACCCAACCCTCAACCCTCAACCCTAAACCCTAAACCTAAACCCTAAACCCTAAACCCTACAGTTTGGTTCGTTTCGGGTGTTGGGCTTGAACTCGGCCGGAACTCTTGAGTCTGAGGCGCTTCCGATGCAGGTACTCGCGGCGGAAGCCACCGAGATGTGTAAGTTGGCTCGATCTGGGTAGGGTTTAGGGTTTGGGGTTTAGGGTTTAGGGTTTAGGGTTTAGGTTTTAGGGTTTAGGGTTTAGGGTTAGGGTTTGGGGGGGTTTAGGGTTTAGGGAGTTTAGGGTTTGGGGTTTGGGGTTTTGTGGTTTGGGGTTTAGGGGAAGTATAACCCTAAACTAAACACTAGACCCTGAACCCTGAGCTGGGGGGGTACTGTAAGGTACATCGTACATTCTCGGCCCGTATGCCTTGGGTTTAGGGCTCTGGGTTTTGTATAGGGTCTGGGGTTTCCCGAAACCCTAAACCCCGCAAAAGGGATCGCAGAACAGAATCAGGACTCGGAATGTCGAATGACATATCATCTGATAAATAATGCGGGGTTCCTAAACTTCCGGGGACCTGCGAAGACCCCGAGACAATCAGACAAAGCAATTCCGCGGTCCCTGGCTGATGGACCCTACATGCCGAGCCCTCAACCCTAAACCGGAACGAGCTTCAGACTGGCATTCAAGGTTTCCGTGTGCCGTCCTTCACCGGACAGCTACTGACAACATCCTTCTAGGGCTTAGGACCCCAAGCTCCAACCTTCCAACCCGGCACCCCGCCCCTGACCCTGAACCCTAACATCCCCCCGTAGAAAATAGTCACCCTAACAGCCGGAACCCCCCCCCAAAAAAACAACAAATAAATAAATATTAATAAATAAATAAACACCAAGCCTGACACCATGAGCCTGAACCCTAAACCCCAAACCCTAATACTAACCCTAAGTCCTAAACCCTGAAACCCTAAACCCAGGGCCTCAATCCGCGGTCTTCGCCCAGGAAGTCTGGAGGTAAGCTGGAAGAGCGAGTGGGCGAGGGCTCCGCGCCTTGGGTTTAGGGCTTAGGGTTTAGGGTTTAGGGTTTTGGGTTTAGGGTTTAGGGTTTAGGATTTAGGGTTTCGGGTTTAGGGTTTAGGCTCAGGGTTTAGGCTTTCGGGTTAGGGTTTGGAGTGCAGGGTTTGGGGAATTTGGGGTGCAGGGTTCAAATCGGGATTTTTCGGAACTTCGGTTCAAGGGCTTACCTGGGTTCATTAAAGGGCCCTTAAGGGGTCGATACCTAGGGAACCTAGGGAAGCCTACGGAGCCTTAGGCAGCAGTGGGGAGCATTAGGAAATCTTGGGTTACATAGCCCCCCTTGAACCCCGGTCCCTTAAGGACCCTATAAGTAAGTTCAGGTTGATTTTTGAGGTTTTGCTTTTTGGAGCTTGGGGTTTGTTAGGAATATACTGAACTTGAAGCCCTACATTGTTTAGGGTCTTGGGATTAGGGTTTAGGGTGTAGTGGTGAACCCTAGGCCCGGAAGCAATACATCCCCTGAACCCCCGAAGAACGATGAACCCTAAACCCTAAACCCTAAACCCTAAGCCTTCTACAGCAGCACATCCAACCCTGCAGCTTCTCGCTCGTTCTAAACCCCAAAACCCTAAGCCGATAACCCTAAACCCTAAACCTTACACACACGAAAAAAACAAGAAAACACAAAAAAACAACCAAAACCCCAAAACCCTACAACCCAAAACCCTGAAACCCTAAAACCCTCAACCCCAAACCCTAAAACTCTAAAATTCTAAGCCCCCCAAAAACCCTGAAATCCTAAAACCCTAAACCCCAAAACCCTAAGACCCTAAAATCCTACAACCCTAAACCCGGTCCCGACAAGCATTTGGTTCTAGGGGTTACGGGTGGATCGGCCTCGACGCTTCTGCTGAAACCGCTCGACATCTCGCTGGTAGTCCTGTGAGGTTTAGGCTTGAAAGGTTTAGGGCTTAGGGTGTAGGGGTTTAAAGCATACACCCGTGCAGAGTTTCCAAGCACCATGCTCTGTACATTACACGCCATACCCCAACCCCACAGCCCCAAGTCTCTCAGCTTCAACCCTCGCGAGATTCTTTTCGGAAAAGTTTGGGGTTCAGGCTTCGAGCTTAAACAATTCGGCAGCTTATGGTGGTCCAGCTTTTGCTTTTGCTTCTGAAGGCTCGGGGAAGCGCTTCAAGGCTTTCGCGCTTAGGACGTTGCAACGCAGGCGGCGGTCAGGGTTCAGGCTTCAGGGCGAGCGCCGGCTCCGGGACCGTGTTCGGCTTGTTGCACGCTAGAAGTCGCAAGCTGCGTCAAGGGGTCAAAAGATTTCTTTCACTTGCCGGCTTCCAGGTCCGCGCCAGCAACGCAGTAAAACCCAAGCAGTCTAGAGGCTTAGGAGGCAAGATCTTCAAGATATCTTCAAGGTAATGAGGCACATGGACCCTCAGGGTTAAGGTGCACGATGCAGGAATCCGGAGTTGGAGGTTGCGAGGGGCAGCGCACATTCACGCTGAGCCCTGGCTGGCGGCTCCTTCCGGCCCTAAACCCTAAAGCCTAAACTAGACCCAAGAGTAACCTAGCAATAAAAAGGGCACCCTTTTTGGCTGTACAGATCCTTATGAGGGAACCTAAACCCTAAAAAAAGGGAATAAGGGTCCATTCTGGGTCCTAGTAGACCTCAGACCCTAAACCCTAAAGCGCAGATCTTGAGTCGATACTTACAGGGTGTAGATCGCAGACCGTGCGCTGAACTGCGTATTGCAGATTGATGTGAATGCGTGTCGTAAGCGTCCGAAATGATTGGCCAAACGGAATAGATTCTCATTTCAAGTCAGTGGTGCTTTTCGATAGGAAATTCCGGAAGTGGGGGTCCTAGAAAGTCTTTTCAGGGGCCATGTAGGGGACATAGGCAAATGTTTTCCGAATTTCGTGCTCAGAAGTAGGCAGTCAACTGCAGTGCTCCTGCACAGACTGTGGAAAGTATCCCACCGTCTCTGTCTTTACATGGGTGTTTCCGAAAAATAGGTGGACCCTTTCCAGGTTCCTTTGTCATAGCACATTTTGGGGTATGTTAGGGAGAGACCCCTTTAAGGGAAACGCTATGTCTCAAGTCACGAGCCCTAAGCCCCAAACCCCGAAGCCTTAAGAGAAGTTTGTGTCCTGAAGCCTCAACGCCAAAATAAAACCCAAGCGGCTTAACCTCAACACCTTGTGGTGCATCATACCAAGCTAGCAATCGGCAAATCCTGAAATCCATGTGATCTTGATATTTAACGCTCTCGAGATCTAGGAGATTTGAGCATGCACGTCAGATCACACAGAGATTGGAAGATGGGACGCTGCTGCGCGTGATTTTGGCATTTACAATAGCACGAGTTGACAGAGAATACCAGGATGCGTTCG